GCCTGTGGCACTGCTGAGGTGTTAGGGAAGACCAGGATGCTTGAGTAGCGGCCTTCAGCTCTTCTGCAGTGTTCGGTCTCATGTCTCTCATCTTTCTCTTGGCAATGCCCCATAGATTCTCTATGGGGTTCAGGTCAGGCGAGTTTGCTGGCCAATCAAGCACAGTAATCCCACGGTCATTGAACCAGGTTTTGGTGCTTTTGGCAGTGTGGGCAGGTGCCAAGTCCTGCTGGAAAATGAAGTCAGCATCCCCATAAAGCTCATCTGTGAAAGGAAGCATGAAGTGCTCCAAAATCTCCTGGTAGACGGCTGCGTTGACCCTAGAATTAATGAAGAACAGTGGACCAACACCAGCAGATGACATGGCTCCCCAAATCAACACAAACTGTGGAATCTTCACACTGGACCTCAAGCATCTTGCAGTGTGTGCCTCTCCATTCTTTCTCCATACTCTGGGTCCTTGGTTTCCAAATGAGATGCAAACGTTGCTCTCATCAGAAAAGAGGACTTTGGACCACTGAGCAACAGACCAGGTCTGTTTTTATTTAGCCCAGGTAAGACGCTTCTGACGTTGTTTGTTGTGCAGGAGCGGATTGACAAGAGGAATACGACATTTGAAGCCTATGTCCAGGATCCGTCTGTGTGTGGTGGATCTTGATGCACTGACTCCAGCCTCAGTCCACTCCTTGTGAAAGTCCCCAACACTTTTGAATGGCCTTTTCCTGACAATCCTCTCCAGGCTGCAGTCATCCCTGCTGCTTGTGCACCTTTTTCTTCCACACTTTTCCCTTCCACATAACTTTCTATTAATGTTCTTTGATACAACACTTTGGGAACATCCAACTTCTTTTGCAATTACCTTTTGAGGCTTTCCCTCCTTATGGAGGGTGTCAATGATGGTTTTCTGCACAACTGTCAGGTCAGCAGTCTTTCCCATGATTGTGACTCCTACTGAACCAGACTGAGAGACCATTTAAAGGCTCAGGAACCCTTTGCAGGTGTTATGGCTTAATTAGCTGATTAGAGTGGGACACTTTGAGCCTAGAATATTGCACCTTTTCACAATATTCTAATTTTCTGAGATTGTGGATTTGGGGTTTTCATGAGCTATAAGCCATAATCATCACAATTATGACAAATCACGGCTTGAACTATCTTGCTTTGCATGTAATGAGTCTATCTCATATATTAGTTTCATCTTTTAAGTTGCATTACTGAAATAAATGAACTTTTGACGATATTCTAATTTTTTGAGTTTCACCTGTACTTCTCTTTTAAATGTAGCAAAAATCAATACCGGATTCTGCCAGTGAATAGTTTATATGAGATCATATTTCCTGTCCTCTATAATCCTTAAAATGTCTTTCCTTTTATTTTAAATTGCAGCATTTACTCTATGAGGGAAATGTCTATGAAAGTCTACTGAAAGGTGTGGTAGTAGCTGTGAGTTAAATAGTTCTCTCCACCCAGACCAAATAGAACTAAATGAGATAGGTCAATCTTCTTCACATTTTACTGCAGCTTGGGTGTGTTTCCCTTTGGTATTCCAAGGATATCTTTAATTTTGCTGTACTGCAGGAATGAGTGATGCATGTACAGACAGAGGTTTCAGCCTCACGCATGCTTAATTATTTAAAATAAAAGAAATCAAAGCTGAATAGAGTGGGGAGGAATAGAAAGCATGCTGTTATTTTTTTCTCTTTGTAATTAGATTAAGTAAAGAAGAGCGTGAAATGCTATGGGGTTCACACAGGGTTTCTCCTACTGGAACCAAAAAGTATGCAATTGCTGCAGCATCATATGGAACCAAGGTACAGTCCACGCTGCTAAATAAAAAATGTGGAAGCCCCCATTGATGACGTGTATATAAAAATGGAAGCTGGTTTATGAAAGGTGTAGGCTGTCTTCATACTTGTTTTACTGGAGGCCCTGAAGTGAAAATTTGCTGTAAGGCACATCTACAAATGTGAATTGTGGCTAGGAAATACTTGGTCCTGAAAATAATTATCTGTCGTTTCATATGTAGGAGAAAATATCTACAACAATATATATTTTACAAAGGCTATAAAACTATACGGTTGCAGTCTAGATTTTTGTTCCTACATAGGAAATGACAATTCATATTTTTTCCAGGACCAGTCTGGTCCATTGCTTTCTTTCTTCAAAAAAGGTTAAAGACCTAAGCTGGCCATAGACAGATCGAAATTCGTCTGGTTCAGGAAGAACCGGATGAATTTCAATCAATCTACGGACACGCTGGTTCTACTAAAGTCTTCACTACAACCAGACTGTTGTTTTTTTTTTTTTTTTGCTCGATCATAGCTGCCAGCAGTGATCGTTTCATTCTTAGGGCTGGGAAATCTCCCGCTGTCAGAATACAATAGTGCAGTGAAAGAGATTCCCCCTTCAACACTGACTGTTTGGATGGGGAAATTACACAATTTTCTTTTCTTCAACCCGTGGTTGAAGGAAAGAAGATGATATAAAGCATGGCCTGCCATAAGAGACATTCAACTTACCTGCCTGCTGGCAGTCTTCCATAAGGCCCTTTCACACTGATGCGCTTTTGATGTGTTCCCATTGATGTACAATAGAAGGTGCCTTTTTGGTGTGCAGCATGCAGGACTTTTCAAAGCACAGTGCACCCGCAGTGTGTGCACAATTACATAGTTTTAATGAGGGATAGTTTTCATGCACATTTGTTGCCCTAGAAAATCATGGCAAAAGCGCACCAGTGTGAAAGGGGCAACACTGAGTTGCACACGTATCAGTTTACATTCCTGAATAGATCGGTTCCAGGATGGCAGAACTCCTGTACAGGACTGATGTCATCCTGCGCTGGCCAAGGAAGATCGCTGCAGCCCAGCACTTGTGAGAAGCTGGCAAGAGACCTTGGACAATTGCATATAAGTTTTTCATACTTTAGTTGTGCTGTAAAGTAATTCTGCAGCCAAGTATTCACATGTACTTAACATGCAGTAAATCATCTTTAAAACAAGTGCTCACCTATCATTCTCAAATTTCACAAGCGAAGCAGCAAAGATTAGAAAGCTGGGTGGTTTTTAACTCAATTGGGTGACAGCTAGGCCAGATGAGCAATTAGGAGAAATTAAATGTGCTTCTGCATTGTATATGAGTTATTCCACAGTGTCTACATTTATATGCATAGCCTGGCCACAGGTTCAATTGACTCTGGGAAGTAAAAAAAAAAAGTTACTTTTCTTACAGACTGGGGCTGTATAGGCATTGACTTACTATCTGATCCTATTCACTATTTTGTCACGTAACTGATATTCCTTGCCCAGTCTGCCTGCTTCCAGGACCACCGTAGCCTCAGCTTTACCTGGTCCTCTAAATGGAGAATGCAGATTTGTTTTCTTGTATTCTCTACCAATCCCCAAAGAAAAGGTCTTGCAACGGCCTACCACAACATGATAATAGGTGCCAGCGCAAAAAAAACCATCAGTAGTTCGATTAGCAGAGGAGCTCAAAGTGGTTATTGAAAAGATTTCCACGAATTATCTGCTTTAGTAAAGCATCCAAATACATTATTTCACCAAATAAAACACATTTTGTGTCTTTAAATTGCCATTTCCTCACTTCAAGGTGATAAAATTGGTGTCAAACATAAGCTGGTACTGAGCTCCATTTGGGAAACATTGTTTATTGGCCACTAGGTGGAGTGTAGAGGTGGCAGTGATGTCATCTAGGTGGATCACATGTACCACATGTGACTTCACTGCCACACACTCTACACTACACCTAGTAACCGATAAAGAATGTTTCCCAAGTGGAGCACACTACCAGCTGAAACTAAAAGGAAACTGAGGAAGTAGTAATTTAAAGCCATGAAATGCATTTTATTTAGTGAAATGAAATAATTGGATTTTTTACTAATGTAGACGACTCGTGCCTATCCTTTGAATAACCAGTTTGGTAGCCTCTGCCAATTGAATCACCAATGGGCTTTTTGTGTTGACTCCTCTTACCAATGCGTTCACCCACCTGAGAACCCCACAGAGCAAGCAGTATGGGAACCCCCAAGGCATTGAGAGCAATCACGTTGATCCTACATGGAGACAGGTTTTCTCCAACCGTGCACTAAGAAGGCCACCTGTTCCCCCTTCTTGCTGGGTGACAGCAGTCTCAACAGTTGTAAGCCCATTTTGACCTTTTGCCTTTTATTGTGGAAGCATTTTATCCTTTCTTTTCTGAATTAATCTACTACACTATAAAGGCCCTCTTTTTCTTTTTTCGGGGGACACTCTGAGCTATATCAGAAACCCCTGGTCAGTTCCTCAGGTAACACAACATGAGTGCCAGGAGTTGTAGTATTATGATGTCAGACTACCACCATCAGCACCATCTTGGTCTGTCCATCAGGTTACAACATTGAATCTTAGGGATTGCACAAGTCACATGGCCCACACTCTTCATCCGTTTGCATATATAGGTTTGGCTTTTTCTGTTTAAGCCACAATAAAGGATGAAGAGGTGAGTTGTCAGATTATGTTTTTTATTCCTATAATTCTTTTATTCCATTTTTAATTTGGACACTGACATTTGCAACAACATCATACATATATACACACACACACACACTCATTAGAGGTGTCCACATATTATCCTTACACATTGGTAGATCTTTAAAGACTCTTATTCACAGGTATAGCAAGCAGACTCTTTACAAATTCCTAACTCTAGGTGCTGCAGAGAAGAACGCATCCAGAAACAAGGTCCAGCATTAGCTGTACTCCTTTCACTGAGAGTAGCAACAAAATCTCTGTTGTGGAGATGTGTACATACAGCGTTTTGATGCACTTGAAAATTGGTACACGCTGACATTCAGATGTGGGCTTCGGCAGTGTAAAAAATGTTATGGACCTATACAGACAGCAAACGTCAACACTAGCCATTCACATATCATCCTTCCTGCATTGTGTTCAATGTCTAGAATAGTCACAGTGCAAAGGATTATGGCAGGAGCGGACTGACAACTCATGGGGCCCCCGGGCAATAGGAGATCATGGGGCCCCTGTGTCCTTGCCCACACTCAAAGCACACCCAAAAAAGCCTATAAAAGGTACCAGGGGTATTTCATGGGGCCCCCTACTGACCCTGGGCCCTCGCTCGAATGGTCAGTCCGCCCCGGGTTATGATTAGGTGCACAGTTATTCAAACTGTTATACATTCTATTGTGCCTACCCCTTACAAAGTGCCAGAGTCACCAGTTCCCAAAACCAATGCATTGCTTTACTAGAATACCACAGATGTATGCAAGTCATTTACCCATATGATGTTACATATACACACTTGAGCATATATTTGGCACCAGATATTGATTTCTTTTTAAGCAAACAGTAGATTTAATTATTTATGTGCATAAGCGACATGTCTATTTTTATCTGTTCACGCATATCTGCTAATCATTGTGCAACATTAGTAGCAATATTCATTCTTATCTTAATTCAAATTTGAAGAAATATAACTTTCCAAATAGAATATTTTCAGTTGACATGAACATAAATAAAGCAATTTGAAAAGCAATGATGTTATAAGGGCAGAAATAAAAGCACTTTTATATGTAGAGATAGTCTATAATGTCTGTTGTTTTGGTATTGCTTACTGCTTTCTCATTGGAGAGATCCCTGTTTTCTAGTTCCGGAGACAGTGGGCACCAGACAGAAAGTGATAGAAAATCTTCTTAGTAGGAACAGCAATAAAAAGAGGACCTGTCTGTGTTCTCTCTAAGGTTTTAGATGGACTTACACTTTAATGGATAAACTAGTCTGCAGAGCAAATCTAAACTGGTATGGCAATATACCGAGAGTTTGCTGATGGTTGAATGCAGAAATGATTAGATTATGTGCTGGATATGGGCACATATTGGTACAACACGAACCTACAATAGGTTGGTGGACCACACTTGTACCTGTATTTAGAATTTATTTTTCTATACAATGTTGTATAGCAGTAGTAAATTTATTACATGGAAAATGCTATTAAGCTTGTACGCAGGGCCATGGATATAGGGTACCATCAGTCCTCCTGTACAGGGCCCAGGCCAGCAGGGGGGCCCACGCAGCTGAGCAAAACAGATATGGGCAGCGAGGGTGATCGGCATGGCGGAGGGGGTAATTACTGGAACCAATCCCCTCTATGGTTTTCTGCAGCAGTTGAAAGCTGGCTTCTTCTCCTCTCTCTCCTGCTGGCTTTCAACTGCTGCAGAGAGTCATGTAGGGGACTGGTTCCAGTAATTGCCCCCTCCCCTGCTGCACCCATCACTCCCCCTGTGCCCGATATGTTTCTCCCTGCTGCCCAGGCCCCCTTGTGTGCCCTCACCCCCTCAGTGCTCTCCTTCTCACTGGTAGCTGCCAGCACACAATAGGATCATTCAGGATGGAGAGTGGGGGAAGGGTCTGGTAAATACATCACATTTACCAGCCCCTTCCTTTCCTGAATGAATACAATGGGTCATCGGTACCAATCACTCGCTGTGTTCATTCATGACCGAAGCAAAGAAACCTGTGGGGGCTGTATGGGACCCTGTGGTTTCTAACAGCAGCCCTGCTTATACGTTCATAAGTAATATCGGCTTGTAGTTCTCAATGAACTACCATGGCATTGTTGAGCGCTCTGGTAGTTCAGTGATTCTTCCTGTTAGTGTAATATAAAGTATATTTAAAAGTTAAACCTTTATCTTTTTGTTTTGAATATAGTAGAGAAGGACTGAGTAGTCAAATGTATTTAATTTTTTTTTCAATCCCTTCTGGTAGATTTGTCCTTACTTCTTGTCTTGAGACACAATGAGAAATGTGAGTAGATCTCTCCAGTGCCCCCTCTATTCTAGGAAAACTACGTTATGGATTTTCCTTCACTTTCAATCCCTTACCAGTCCACAGAACAGATACATTTCCTTTATATCCTTAATGTTTTGTTCCAGTTCAAACCAAGCTGATACCTTTACAGCAGAATATGCTAATTACCTCTGGTACTTAAGGGGTACTTCAATTATTCCAGCAATTAACAGGCCCAATTCGCCTTGTTCTACCAACCAATGTATATCAGTTACAGCTTCAGAGACAAGCTGAGTATCTAGGTATTACTAACAAGAAAGTGCCAAGCTCCACACCCAGGTTCCCATTCTCAGACTTACTTTCTGCTGTGTGTTCACTGAGCTTGTTGTAGAGTCCTCAGAATGTACAAAGTCCCATTAAGTCAGCTTCCATCACGTTCTGCAATGTCTGACACACGTCTGTCTTTCCTTTGGACTTAGATTTGTATGAGCAGAAGGCAATCTCGCTGCTGTGTAAGCTGGTCAGACTTGCACTTCCACACCTACAATCAACGATGATTCCCCGCCCTTGTCATCACTGTGCACAGTCTGCACACATCTAAGCCGAGCTGTCATATCCTAGAGGCTGGGCTTGTATTTCTGACCTTGTCACTCAACCCACAAACCAGTTCTGTAATAATGATGCCACTTTATCTCTCTGGGAATAAAGTGGGATGCAAAGCTGTAGGATGTGATGTAATGTGCGGTTCACTGGCATGCACCCAGTCCTGCCTTTTAACTATTCAGCTTTCTTTTTATTATTGAGCTAAAGAATAAACATTGGAAACTCCGGCTAGTGTCATAAATGGCATGTAACCTGTTTTCATACATGAGTTTGACAATAATACAAGTGCAGTTCTAAAAGTCTAATTTAGAGCTATTACAACTCCAGGGATTACTTGCCAATAAAAACTATTTTGTTCACAAAACGACGACGATTCATTTAAATAATTTAAGAGCCATTTCCACTGTTGCATTATAACACATGCTTTTCAATGTACTAAAACAAGTGCCATGTTTTTCCATAATGTAGCGCTACCCCCATAGGAGCCACTGATTAGGATAGGTCCTCTGTTCATTGCCTAAACGTTTTCCAAAAAAACCTCAGCCACTCCAACACACCAGGTTAAGTGCACAAACATACAATACCACAGGGTATCACTGAAGGTAATACTTAGTACCCAGTAGTAGTGCTATACCAAAGAAAACAGCTACCAACCCAGGTAGTAAAGGCACACTTAATACAGTATATTGTCACCCAATATGGGTAGTTAATAAGTGATTAACAGTAAGGTCTAGGCATAACATGACATTTGGCATCCAGATCAACATAAACAATAGCAAGGTCCCCTCAAGTGCAACAGTGAGCAGCAGTAAAGTTTAATATTCCAAGTGCTGGAACTATCCTGCCAGAGCACATTTATGGCTGCAATGCTAGTCCTAGACCGACTGGGTATGCACTGCTCAAAAGAAAAGGAGGAATGTAGAAGAGGGGGCATGGGAACAAAGGGGGCTTGCAGAATAATTATTACATGAAGGTCAGTCCTTTGAGATGTTCTTCTGGTTATCATTGAGGCCCTTTAAGAGGATTGGTGCACTTAAGTCCCAGTTAGTTTGCATGCAGTATAGGTACACTATAGTCTCGGCACAGGTGCAGAGTAATTGTGGTTGAGATGTTATAAAGGTTCAGTATAATGCTGTATAGGGTTGGTCTAGGGTGCAGTCTAGGTTTGGAATAAGCATGGTATAGGGTGCAGTATGGGTGAGGTATGGATTGGGTACACTTGGTGTCCTGCTCAGTCTCTGGTAGTAGCATCAGCAATGGGGCAACATCCCTTTTACCATTCCATCGGATGCTGCGACGACCTCTCACTGTAGAAGAGGGGGCCCCGCCTGTCTCTCCCTGAAAGCCTCTGATGATCAGGGGTGGGAAGCTGAGGGTGAGTGAATGCTCCAGTCTCCCTGTGGCAGGGTTGCAGGCAGGGGCGGACTGACAACTCATGGGGCCCCTGGGTAATAGGGGATCATGAGGCCCCTGTGTCCTTGCCCAAACTCAAAAAAGCCTATGAAAAAGGTACCAGGGGCATCTCATGGGGCCCCCTACTGACCCCGGGCCCTCGGGCAGTGCCCGAGTTTCCAAATGGTCAGTCCGCCCCTGGTTGCAGGTGCTGTGATGTGGGAAGTGCTGTGCTACCCCCTATTCTCCTTATTCCCAGTCTCAGACTCAGATCTCCACTGGCATGGTCTCTAGCTGGCAGTTGAATATTCGGACAGAGGTACTCTCTCTTTCTAATTCTTTTGTTACCAACAGGAAGAACTTTCCTGGGCATTTTAATACAAATCATCTCTCCAATCCTCCTACTGCACAGTACATATTGGAATCTGTAGTTTAACTATTATAGTGTGGACATTACATGGCTTCAATCTCAAACTACAACTCCCAGGATTCACAACACTCTGCATAGAAGTGTATGGGCTTACTTGGCTTTAGCTCTCCCCTGCTGGCCGGAGGAGGATGGTGCAGCATGACATCAGTATCTCAAGAGAGGGAGAATAAAGTGCAATGTCCCTATCTCCATATTGCTGTAGCCTAGCACATAGGTATAATAATAAAAATGATGTGCATGTTCCCAACTTAGATGTGCAGTGCAGGGGGTTTAAAAAAATGAAATATTCATTTATTTTGTATTTTAGTGTACTGGGAGGCCTATAGAAGTCACTACCAAGCCATCAAAACACATGTAATATGCATTTTTATGCTTTGGCAACGGATATTAAAAAGCCTCAGTTAATGGCTGTTAACTCCAAATACCAATTAAAAAACAAATTGGAAACATCCAAAACTCCCAACTGTCCCTCATTTGGACTGACTGTCCCTCTTTTGTGACCGAATCCCTCTGTCCATCATGCAGCCTAAGTTATTCTCTTTTTGGTCTAATATGTACATGTCTGTACTATTTTACTAACACACGTTATCATAAACTAAACTTTTTATCCAGACTCTATATTTTGGAAAGCCAATATAAATGAAAATTAGAGGTCAAAAAAGCACTTGTGTGGTTTAGCCAACCAACTATATTCTGTATATTAGATCTTTGTGATCTGTGTAGGCAGGGACATGTCCTTTGCCTACTTACCATATGTCCGTCTTTATCACTTAAGAAATGTAGAAACATCAATGATGCATATCAATGCACAAAGGAAATACAGGTAGATACATGAAATGCACTGGCCTAACGCTACAAAAAATGCACACAAATAGATCTAAATGGGCCTAAGATCTAATAAAAAATGAGTGAAGAGTAGAGAAGTGCAATAACAGATATCAGTGGACCACGAGAACTTACTCCATTCATGTTCAAACCATCTGTAATACCTGGAGAAGTGCTATTATTTGGATAGCAATCCCTTGAAATCTCAGAGCATTGGAGCATATTTATAAAACAGTAAATGTGACATTTGCTGGGCATTTATCTCTCCATTACCTAATGAATCATTGACTGTATTTATAAAACATTTGGAAGATTCACCTGCACATTCATCAGATCAAGCAACATTAACGGACCTTCACTAATATTTGTTCTTCAGTTGGAAAAGGTGCGTATTGTACTATTCATCCTATTTATAACCCTGGGAATAGGACATTCCCAGCACAATTACAGAAAATCTTCCCTTTGAGCTTTAATCATTTTGGCACATCATAGTGGTGTCACTCTTGTATCACATAATTTCTGCACAAAATAATTTAGATCTGACTTTTGAGGTCCGTTATTTTGCAAGTTGATGTTGCAGTAAAGCAGCCAATGCATTAGGGCTCCTGTACACTGCAGATCTCAAACTGATGTTTAGGAGCTGTTCAGCGTTTTTTCCAGCAGCCCCTGAACTCTCCCTAATGTTTTCCTATGTGTCCGTTTACAGGCAGTTGAGTTTACAGTTGTTTTTTTGAACGCACCAAACTTGCGTTCAAGAGTAAATTTTACCGGCGTTTCAAACTCTTGTAAATGCAGTTAACCGTGTTTAGAAGCGTTTACGTTTAGAAGCGTTTGCATTTAGAAGCGTTTTTTAACTGTTCCATGTCCAGATGCTTTCCAGAGCCTTTTTTTCATCATCAGAAATGCATGCAATGCGTTTTCCATGTATTCAAATGGACCCGGTACACCGTAGTCAGTTCCAGGTTTTGCATGAAGGAAATAATGGTAGAACGTGCTGCATTAAACTCATGATGGGATCCACAGTGAATACAGCCAGAAAAGACAGGTAATCTCAACACATACCGCTCTCTATGCTTCTGCTCTCTCTATTCCTCTCAAAATGTCTGAAATAGTTAATTTTTTACTATTTATCAGTGCATTTTGGGCATTTGGGAAGGTCTCCTGAGGTTATCTTTTAAAAAACGCTTCTAAACGCAAATGCACATAAACGCACATAAACACATACGCAGCTAAACTGATGTTTTTTTAACTTATGTTTTCCAGCAGTCAGTTTCCATCATTCAGAAGAGTTTTCCAAATGCCCCGTGTACATGAGCCCTTAATGCCCTACTTTTACATCGAAATGCTGGGCTGTTTTGACAGGCAAAGCTTTGGCACTTCTTAATAGCTTGCCCGTTCCTACTGCATATTTCTGTTGGTCATAGTGATGAACCAATACGTATGTGAGGGACAAGAGTTAGCGGTACCCCAGACACTATCAAGATGTGTTTTAGCTTTACCTGTTCAGAGGATCTGCACACTTTATTTACTGCAAGGAGGTGGTTGGTATGTTGTCCTCTGGAAGCATTTTGGGAGTATTCCAAAGCCTATCAATTCCCATACAACACTTACTTCGGGTGGCAAACACATGCAGACCAGGGGCTATAATGCACTTACAGAGTCACACACTTACAAAATGACCACGTCTTCTTCATCCTCCCAGCTGGTGACATCGTCTGCTCCGACCTCTCCCAACATATGACTCCAAAGCATTTTTAAAAAGTATAACTCAGCAAGTGCTTATTTCCACCAGCTTGTCTCACAACTGCACTCTGTACCTTAAACTATATTCTGCCCTTGGGCATACAGGGAGGCCATAATACTTCACTTTGCAAAGCCTTGCACAACTCCAGGCTCAATTCCTAAGTAGATACAGTTCTGCAGCAGGCTCCAATATGGAGACTCTGTCAGTAAGTGGGGAACATGAAATACGTATCTTTCCTCTCACTATCAAGACCCCTATCACCTGCCACTATCACCGCTTCCTGTATCAGATGGCTGCTTCTCTTTCTGGTACTCTTTACTCAAACCCTTGTTCTGAACCCTGCATGCATCGGCCAAAACACAACAGAACACATATAACATAATATAACACATTATAACATAGGCCCACATGCATTTGTCTCTTTTAATTTTAATGCAATATAAAATTTCATAGTCACCTCATTTCCTGTTAATCACCATTGAAACACCTACCAAAAGATTGCAATTTATGCCACCCAGTTGTGACACTCCATACTTAACCATTTGCCCTCCAGAAGATTTACCCCCCTTCCTGACCAGGCCATTTTTTGCAATAAGGCACTGTGTTACTTTAACTGATAATTGCACCGTCATGCAACGCTGCACCAAAATGAAATTTACGTCCTTTTTCCCCACAAATACAACTTTCTTTTGGTGGTATTATATCCCCTTCCCTGTTTTTTATTTTTTGCGCTTTAAACAAAAAAATAGACCAACAATTTTGAGAAAAAAACTATATTTTTGACATTTTGCTCTTAAACATGTCCAGTAAAAAAATTTAAAAATCATAATTCATCATACATTTAGGCCAAAATGTATTTTACTACATGTCTTTGCTAAAAAAAAAAAACCTATTACATGTAAATTAATTGGTTTAGATGAAAGTTATAGCATTTACAAATGGTGGTATATATACTGGGATTTTTACTTTTTGTACTAATAATGGCAGCGATCAGTGACTTATAGCGGGACTGTGGTGGGCATTTTGACACTGGGGGGGAACAGACTTGGTGTCACTGACATCCCCAGTGACACCAATACAGTGATCAGTGCTAATAAAAAGCATGCACAGTGTACTAATGGCACTGGGCAGGAAGGGGTTAACATCTGGGGCGATCAAAGGGTTAACTTTGTGCTGTTTCACTATAGGGGATGTGTGTGTGCTTCACTGTAACCATACTGCCTTGTATGGCTCTGCTATGCAGATCTATGCAAAGCAGTGTGCAGGAGCTGACAGGGGAGAGATCTGTGTTCACAGGTCTCTCCCCCATCAAAGATACTCGACGATCTCCGGATGTGCCAAAAGTAATCACTGGCCGGGACCCGGTGATTGAATGGCGGCACGGGTAGGGGGCACATGTGCCCCTTACCCGGAACTGCAAAATCACGTATTTATATGTGATTTTGTGCACCCGTGGTGCCCTGTAGCAGTATATCTGCTATAGGGCGGCACGGAACTGGTTAAATTGGATTTTCAGAGCAATTTACCCAATTAACTTGGTGCAGGTGCATTTCCTATGTATAATATAATCTTTCAAAATAAGCTTGCTTAAAATCTCAGATATATTCCCATTTAACAGAATAGAAGCTTTGAAGGACCGGTCTCATGGAAGGAGGAGCATGCGCTAGTGAGGGATAAGGTAACCAAATCTGCTTTTTACAGGTATACCTAAGAGCATCTAACCCTTGCAGTGCAGGGGTGTCCCGCTGCATGAGTAATTTTGTCTTTTCCCCAGAGTACAGCTTTAAAGCAAAGCAGATCCCCCTTAGACTCTGACTACCCCTTACCCCTGGTAAAGACTCCCACCCCCAATCCTGCTTTTTTTTTCTAGCAATACATAAATTATTCGCTTTACAAGAAACAAGTTGTTGTTACAAACAGTTGTATAATTAATATATTAAAGTTGCATTTTACATTCATAAATGAAGACTATACCTCATGGGCTTGAAATGCAACTTCGCTAACCATACCATCTTTATACATTACGATTTCCCATATGCTTCCTAACCCCTTCACGCCTAAGGGTGAAACAAATCTTATTGCCTAAGCACAATTTTGCAACTTTGACATGTGTTAGCAAAACCGTACATATCATCACAACCAGGGGTGGACTGACAACTCATGGGGCCCCCGGGCAAAAGGGGATCATGGAGCTCCTGTGT